AGAGGAAGTGCCTTAAAAGAGGAGCATAGAGATATTTTTTCGTAATGTCAGAAGAACGCAGCTAAGCACTCAGAATTTTTTACAAAGTTGCGCTCCTTCAGTTTGCGTTTCCCTCTGCCGTTTCACCAGTATTGATAAGGAAGCAAAATTCTTATTGTGGCTGATTCTGATTTGCTTTAGCCCTTAGACATATTTAGAAATAACGATTTGATTTGAAGAAAGTTTCTGTTTCTGACCTTGATGCCCAGTTCGGCAACGATACAGCAGAGACCAGAAGCTGCCAGCGGGACGGCTCCTGGCAGCCTGTGGGTAGCTCCTCCCCCTCCTTTTCTTTTCACACTTCTCAGGAGTTTTTCTTTCTGCTGTCTCCGACGCCGCTCTGTCCGTCTTCCTTCCCCCGTCTCCTTGCTGCAGTTGCACTGCCCCCAGCCGCCTCAGTGCTGCTGCCCATCCCGCAGCAGTACCCGGCTCCCGGGTGCCCTCCCCGCCGCGGTACCGGCTCCCGCAGGGCCCGAGGGATCGGCTACGCGCAACCCGACCCCCCTACCGCCCCAGCTTTCAGTGATATTTAACTTCCAGAGAGGATGCTACCAACTCCAGTTGATTTTAATGTCTGAATACAAGTTTACTTTTGGACGCATTTGCCATTTAGAAAACTTATGTTGCGGCACTCATAGTTCACAGTGAATCCCTTCTGTTCCGGCCCAGATTTGGCGGCGTCCCCTCGGCACGGACGCGGCGCGGGGTCCGTCGGGCCGGAAGCGCAGCCAGAAGGGCGCCGGGGCGCGCTGCGGGGGGCGGCGGCAGCGGGGCCGGACCGGCGCCAGGAGCTCCCTGGCAGCGGAGCGCCGCGCTGCTCGAAGAGGGCTCGCTGAGCGAGGAAATTTTCTTGCTTACAGCCGGGACCGCGCCTCTTGCTCGAGCCCCTCCGCTCCTGCGGAACAAGACGGCGCGGTCAGGGCATCGTCCCGTAACGCAGGAGGGGCCGGCTGCAGAGATTGCCGCACGCCCCGACGTTGCTGCTCGGAGGTGGCGGGAGGCCCCTACCCCGCCTGCAGCCGCTCGCTTCCCGTACCCCCCGCCCCGCTCCGCCCCGCGCCGCCCCAGCCCCACACGGCGCCGCCGCCGCCGCGCTCCTACCTGCGCTGCGCGGTGCGGTGCGGGCTGCTGCCGGGCACCTGCTGCTGGGCACCTGCTCCCGCGCCCGCGCCGCCTAACAAGCGCGGCAGCAGCAGGCGGACCGCGCGGCCATTGGCGGCGGCCGTGCGGGACCGGCGCCGGTTGGGTCGGGCGCGGCGGGGGCGGGCGCGGGGCGCTGACGCCAGCGCGGGGCCGGTGGGGAGGCGGGGCCGCGCCCCGCGCCGTCTTTGTGCTCGCCGGCAGCCCCGGCAGCGCCGCCGCCTCCCGCCGCCTCCCTCAGCCCCGCGCGGCTGCGGACGGCTTCGCTCGGCCCCGCACCGCACCTCCCCGCACCTCTCCGCGCTATGTGCGCCGGTGCTGCCGTGCCTTCTCGCGGCCGCTTCCCTCCCGGTGGGGCGCTCCCGGCCCCTCTCTGAGCGCGGCGGGGCAGGGCGAGCGGAGCGGTGCCGTGCCCAGACGTGCCGTGCCCGGACGTGCCGTGCCGTGCCGTACCGCGCGGCGCGGAGCGGAGCGAAGGGAGCGCGGCGCCATGCGAGGCCCGGGGCCGGCGCTGGCGCTGGGGCTGCTGCTGGGCGCGGCGTGGCTGGTGTGCGGGCAGAACGAGACGGAGCCCATCGTGCTGGAGGGGAAGTGCCTCGTGGTGTGCGACTCCAACCCCACGTCCGACCCCACCGGCACCGCGCTCGGCATCTCCGTGCGCTCCGGCAGCGCCAAGGTCGCCTTCTCCGCCATCCGCAGCACCAACCACGAGCCCTCCGAGATGAGCAACCGCACCATGATCATCTACTTCGACCAGGTGCGGAGCGGGGCTGCGGACGGGAAGTTGTCGGGGCTAGGAGGGGACGCACCGCCCCGCGGGGCTCTGCCCGCCCCAGGGGGGAGCCGGGGGCCGGGGTTCGGCGGAGCGCTGACGGTGCCCTTTCCTTGCAGGTACTAGTGAACATCGGCAGCAACTTCGACTCGGAGAGGAGCACGTTCATAGCGCCAAGGAAAGGAATTTACAGTTTTAATTTTCACGTGGTGAAAGTCTACAACAGGCAAACCATCCAGGTCAGCCCGCGGGAGCAGCGGCGTGGGGGGAGCGGAGCTAAGCGGGACGCGGCGGGGCTGTGCCGTGTCCCCGGGCACCCCCCGCCGCCCCGCCCGAGGGCCGCGCGGCCACGAGGCCTGCACCGGCAGCGAGAGCCGCCCCGGGCCGGGAGCTGAAATCCCGGATCAAGGGCAGCGCTGCACGGCCGCCGGAGGGGAGGCTCCTGGGACCGAGGGAGCTGGGGGGCTCCGGGACGCGGACCCATCTGGAATGTATGAATGCAGCGCCGCATGCAGACATGCAGACACCCCGTACACGCCTCTGGTGTGTGGCTCGGTGCACATGCACCTCTGGGTAGGGATATGGAACTACCAGCCCGAAGCCAGGTAGCAGAACCCAGGCGGAAAATGTCTGTGCAGCGATGCGCATTGCAAAGGTGAACGCACAGCTGCAGCGACGTAGTGCTTCCCATGTTAGGTTGGGCAGGGAGCGCATTGTTAATGCGGGGTACACAGTCCTGGGGTCGGCAGTGTGATCCGAGGAATGCCTATTGACTGTTGTGGCACACTGTCTTTGCTGCCTGGCAAAGGCAAACACCCCTGAACTCACCTCAGATGTGCTGAGGGGTGTCTGTGACAGCCCTCCACACGGCTCTGAGGTTCCGCATAGAGCCACCTTTGAGTGTGAGCAGAGCTCTTTCATAGCCTGAAAACATGCGGGCACCCCACTGAAATCCTTCAGAATAGGATCAATGCCTTGTTCTATATGCACCAGGGGTTTTGATGTGGCTGCCGCTCTGAAACAGCGGTGAAAGCCCTCTTCCCTTGGAGGGCACACCTCAGCCAGGCTCACATCGCTGTTTCATTTTTATGGGCTGGAGTTGCAGCTGCCAAAAGAGGCCCTTTCCTAACGACTTTCCCCTGCGAGGCGAGCCTTGCACTGACGGAGGGCTTTGTTTTATCTTGCTCTTTAGGTGAGTTTGATGCTAAATGGGTGGCCAGTGATTTCTGCCTTTGCAGGAGACCAAGATGTGACCCGAGAAGCTGCCAGCAACGGAGTGCTGATACAGATGGAGAAAGGAGACAGAGCTTATCTAAAACTGGAGAGAGGGAACCTGATGGGGGGCTGGAAGTACTCGACATTCTCTGGATTTCTGGTGTTCCCGCTTTAAACCACATCTCATCTGAGAGAAGGGAGAGCTGCAAGTCAGAGAATCTCCTACAAGTTCCCCAGCCCCAGCTGGGTGTACGGAGCTGTGGACAGCGGACTTTTTACGTGCAAATATTTAAGAAGCTAAATCCTGCTTAGGTTGTGTACATCGCTTTGAAGAATTACTCCTTATTTCTGTTGTGTTGCAGCCAACAGGCAGGAGACACTATAATTGATCACAGCCCCATTTCTATTCCTCTCTCCTCCCACAGAATTAGTTCCCATCTCTGTGTCACTGTGTAATCGGCCATCGTTCCCCATGGTTTCTGCCTCGCACAAGTAGACTTTAGGTATTTCCATTGTCCTTTACAGCATATTTTGTAGTTTTGTTTTTAAAACATGTTAATCTCGACTCTTTTCTCTGAGTTTTAACTTAAAAAAAACCAACCCACACAACAAAACAAAAGTGCAAAGTATTTTTGAATACGTGGATGCCACGGTGGAAGAGCAGATGCCGCTCTGGCTGTGTGCGGGCTGAAGGAGACGTTTCTACGTGAAGAACTGTTTGCAGCGAGGGCTGACCGCAGTATTTCAATATTTCTATGTAATTCTGAGTGATTGTGAAATTTAAGGCTGCTAAATGTTTTGATGCTTGTTTTGCTCTTGTAAAATGTGGCCCAACTAAACGCCAGGAAGTATATTGAACTTTTACTATTACTCTGTAATATATGTGTGAATATTGAAAATTAATTTTTGCTTTAATTCAATAAAGTTTAAATGGGACTTTTATTTTTCTTAACCCGCACTGAGGTTCCTCACTGCAGGCGGCGGCGCGGCCCCGGGCAGGGGCTCCCGGATCGCAGTATCGATGCGTCTGTCTGTACTCCAGCCTATAAAGCGCAGCACATTTTGTACGGCCGTCTGAAGCGGCTTTACGACGTGTTTATCCTTCGATGCTAGCAGCATTTATTCGCCAGTATTATTTTGTTTACGGTCTTTTAAAGGTGGAAATGCTATAATTTTGCAGCGCTCGGACAGATAACTACTTTTATTAAAAGGTGCGGACGAGGATTTCGGTTGGAACGAAACGCGAAGACGAGTTGAAGCGGGGCGAGGAGCGCGCGGCGGCGGGGCGGCTCTGTGCCCACGCCCGGGGCCGCTGGTTCGGGTCCCGCCGAAGCTCAGGGCGAGGAGGGAAGCCGGCCCCGGCCCCGCTACCCGCCCTCGGGAGCTCAGCGGGAGCCCGCAGCCGCGCGACTGGGAAACTACTGCGAGGTCTGCGAGGAAGGGCTGATAACGACGGCAGTCGGGCTGCCTTCTCCCGGAGCTGCGCCGCAGCCCCGCACAGAGCCGTCATTGCTTCCCCCGAGCGCGGCAGCACAGCGCGGTGTCCCGCGGCCGGGCCGAAGCCGCAGAGCCACCGGGCTGCAGAAAACCGTCTGAGGGCCGCAGGTGCTGTTGATGTCTTTTTTTTTTTTTTCTCTCCCTTCTTCTCTCTTTTCTTTTGTCCTCCTACGCAAAGTAACTAACCCCCCACCTTCAGCTGTGAGTTCTCCCCTGATTGCGAGCGCCTCGTTAAGTCACTGCACCTGGAGTTCGCTCTGTCCGATTGTAGCGAAGCGCCGCCGCTCTGCGCTGCTCTGATCAGAAGCGCGAGGCTTCACCTCGAGGTCGGGCACGCGGTGGGGGCTGCAGCCGGGTGCTTCCTCAGGCTCAGGGCTGCGTCCCCCCAACGGCTCCACGGCCGCGTTCCGCTCCCCGCAGCGCTCTGCCGGCGTCCGGGGTGTCCGTTCCTCTCAGCCGTCACTCTCCGGTTGATGTAAGTAATTTCTGATTGAATTTATTGCTGATTAGAGTTGAGCATCGGTTTACACAACAAGAAATTATGCCTCGTTCAGTTCATTAGCGTGACGGGTGTTTGCTTTATGAGTAGATCGCTAATGCTAATGACCGGAGCTGATTGATTTCTAATGCGAATATAATGACGCAGATGTAGGGGAATTAAGGAAAAAAATCCACACTGATAATTGTTGGGTTTTTAGGGAGCGCGTGTGGGGGCGAGGGGAGGAAAAGGAGAAGCCAACCGCCTCGCTCCTGCGTGAGCGGTGCGGGGATGGAGATTAATGGCGCCGGCAAGAGATGGCAAGTTTGGTCCTAAAGGAAAAGTGCCGTAACTCCGGGGCTGGCGCCGCGCAGAGCGTTCCCCTCGCGGTCCGGGCTCCGCGTTCCGTTGCCCGTAGCTGCCGCGTGCCGTGTGGGCTGGGCTCGGAGCCGGGCGACCGGGGAGGGGGGGAAATCCGCGCACAGCGCGCCGCGGGGCCGCCCCCGGCAGCCAGCCTGCCCCGCTCCTCCGGGACCGTGCGGTGCGGACGCCAGGTGGGATTCGGGAGGCGGGGAAAGAGGAACGGAGCGCGAGGCGCGGGGTTAGAGCAGCCCGCGTTAGCCGTCGGCTCTTGCCGGCGCGTTATCCCCGAGGGTGACCTCAGGGATCCGCTGACGCGAGAGGTTTTGTGGAGCGCAGCGGTCGGAGCGCTGCCGGAGGCGGGGGGAGTAATAGGGCTCTGCGGGAGCCCCGCGGCGCAGCTGCGCGGGATGGGGAGGGTGAGCAGGCTACGTCGCTGCCGGGAGCGCCGTGGGTGTGCGGGCAGTGCCGGGAGCCACGTGCAGCGTGGGGGGAAGGGAAGGGCTCAGCGAGGCCGGCGGTGGTCGGTCATTGCGCGCCTCGGGACAGCGCTGCGCTCCAGAAGGCCCGGCACGGCCCGGCGGCTGCGCGCCGCACCGCGGGTATCCGCGCTACGGGCGTCTCCACACCTCCCCCCAGGCGCCCTGGGACAGCCAGGCGCTGCCACGATGTGAACGTCTGGGTGCGGGGCTCTCCGTTCCTCGTCTTATAGCGGCTTTGAGCCTTCTATTGGACGAGTGAGGAAGATGATGATGTTTGTCCTTCTGCTTCTTCGGATCTGCGCTGCGATGATGAGGGAAGTGCCTTTTAAGTTGCAGGAGTTGAATTTAGTTTCTTACAGCGTGGGGTTTTTGAAAGGCAACAGTTGCTGTTCTGAGTTCGGGCCTTGGGGCTGAGAAAGCGCTTGGGAAGGCAGCTGTGCTATCACAGGTTCTAACGCTGCATAATACCTGGACTTGCAAAGCCCAGGACTCTCCTGCTTTTTGTGCTTGTATCACTGGCAACAGAGCACTGAGCATTAGGAGCGTTCCTTGAAGAATGCAACTCCTTCAGTTATAAATCCCATCAGAAGTGCTGAAAATGTCTTTCATCCAGAAATAGCGTGGGGCTCTGCTTTTTGTTTTGTCTGTGCAACCCTCATTCAAGGACTGGAGGATCACAGGACTCTTGCTTTATTTTTCAATTAGAAGTCCCTCAGCTCATAGTGAAAATTCTCATTTCATACTTGCACTTAATGCTAATACATTTTAATGTGCTTTTGGTATTTTTGGCTCAGGGTCAACCAAGTCGAGGCCATCCTCCTTGAGCTTCTATATTGGCAGTGTTTCCTAACTTTGTCAGTGGTAAATGATGCTACTTCAAAGATAAATATTGTAATCCAGAATTAATAATAAAAACGGCCAGTAGTTGTGTGGCAGTGGTTTTCAGAGCAGCTGTCACCAAAGTAGTTGTACTTTTCTCTTTCTGCTATCAAATGAAAGTGCTGGGTTTTGGGGGGAGAGGGAGGAGAGAGGGGAAGGAGAAAAGGTAAACGTGGTATTTCTCATTCTAACATCTTTCCTTCAACGTTCCTTGTGAAGCGCTGTGGGGTGCTGGTCAGGCTGCCTGGTCTGCTGACCTGATAAATAACACTTCCATTGGAGGAACAGAGCAACACGGTGTTCTTTCCCACTCAGGTGTTCCTGGATTCGTAACTGTTAAAATCTGGTCTTCAGAACTTGAAATCCCATCAGTTCTCCTTCATACTCTATCTTCCCCATAATCCTTGTACATATTTTGAGTCGCCTGCTCAAATTCTCCATTGGTGTTGATCTGTTGCTCCATTTTGAGTGTTTATGTCACTTCTTCTGCCTGGTTTTGTACTTCCAAGCTGTCAACAGAACTGAATTTCCCTACTGCTCTGTCTGTTAAGTTTTAGTTATAGAGAAGCTTCTGATCTGTCTCTTTTTAATCTGGTTTTATTGTTCCTTTGCTGTCTCCTTTCTGGTGATTAATCTCACTATTTCAGTCTTTGGAGCACCTTTCCAAGGGGTCACTTGTTCTTAGAACCTGGATTGCAGCCTGTGGTGTTAAAACACATGGCACAACCACTCGTATCTATAATAACAAAATGAGGCTCAGCACTTATTAGGTACATAATAGAAATAATAAGGGAGGTAGTCGTGCAGTTTGTCATGTGGCCAACATCATGCAGTGGTGAACTGAGTAGAGATATTTACTGAATTTCCTGCAACATATTCCCAGTTCTCTACTGTGGCTTGATTAAGCTAATTGGGAATCTGGCCATTAATTCACTACTATCGATATGCATAAACTTACCAACTCCACATTTTGTGTGCCACGTACACAAAAATTGTGTGAGTCTGATCAGAATTAAATTATTTTCCCACACTGGGATAAGTCAGTGTTGAGTCTGGAAGTACTGGTTTAATGCAGCATCTTTGATCTATGAAAGTCATATTTGTTTTCCTAATGTACATAGTGAAAAGACTTCATTGACTTAAAGGTACTTTGGAAAGGGTACATTGAGAGAAAGCAATCTTCAGGAGGAGGAGGATCTTTCATTGTTACAGCAGTGGTGCCAGGGCTCAGGATTCAAACTGTAGCTTTAAATTCCAGTGGGTTGTTAAATGAGGTTTTTCTGCTGACAAAAATTTGCTTAGTTGTATTGCAGTGCAGATTCTTGCATCTTATTTTACACCTGGGACCTTGTGGCAGAAGCCAGGAAATGATGCTACAGGAATGTGTTCCAGCCCTATTACTTCTGCTGTGGCATGCAGCTGCTGTACCTGCATGAGGCAGAGGTGGTGTGGATAACTCAAACTTGGCAAGAAACACATCCATGTTCCCTTTCTGCCATTTTCTTATCTTTCCTTTGGCCTATGTAACCAACTTTTACCCTTGTTTGTAAGATTGCCTAAAACTTTCGGATTACTGGAGGCATCCCACTGCAAAGGCATGGCTTTGTTGTCCGAAATTTAAGATGTCTAAGATAAGTGTTGTTTGTTCTTTACATAACTGTTGTATCAAAAGGTCAGGGCTGTCCAGTGGTCCTGGTGATGGTCACATCAAATTGCCTCAGTATAGGGTTTGAGTTGCCTAACCTACTCTAGTTTCATGAGAAGCTTTTCCTACTTAAAATATTTTCTGTGTCCTTAATAAGTGGTTATAAATGAAGAGAAATGGTTAAAAGTTAATTATTACGTTTTCATTGTATAGCATCTCTCATTTTTTTTCTTCAAACAGTAGATGGATTTATAAAGAAACAATCTCCCCTCCACTCACTGACAGTCTCTTAAATGATACTGAAGACTTAAATTATTGTCTTGTGGGGGGGTGAAGGAAGGAGCAGTTGAATTGTGCTGGAGCTGTTTTAAAACAAAACAAATGAAATACATATTAAAACATGGAGAACAGTAACAAGAACAGAAATACAGCATTTGTTGCTGATGTGTTTTTGTGCATTTTATGGCATGTTTTGTCAGAGTATCAGGAAGTGCTGATGCTTTTGAAAGCAAGAGAGCCCATGTTTGCATTCTCTAGGCAACTGGTCAGTACCTCAGGTGTGGTTATGGCTGCCTAATGGCAAGAATGGTGGTAGTGCAGCCACATCCCTTTGGTTGTATTTCAGCAGCTGGGAAGATAAATGAGTCCTGTGTAACTATAGATCAACTGCAGGATGATACATTTAGTTTAATGTTTACGCATGTTTTTAATGTTCCCCTTATTGTGTTCTCAGCAAAGCTGAAAAATATTGCAAATACAACATTGGAGTGTTGTTTCTAAATTGACGTAATTAGATCTGGTGTGATTAGTGCAGCTAGTATCAGCATGTTTCAGAGAAGGGAGGGTTATTTATTCAGCTTGGCTTCCCGTGTATTCTCTTAATTTGAAGTTATGGGAACATATTTTATATTTCCTGAATACATCTGTCACATCTTACCGTCATAGTGACAGCATGTCATACCGCTCTGTGTTCCCATCTTTCTGTACCTACGCTAATGTCTTGTCAATAATGCTGCACTGAAGCTTTTGTTCCTAGTGCAGGAAGCTCCTACCTGACTCGGATGCCTCTCACTCAGCCTTCCACCTCTGCAGTCCATGGAAATTTCCCTCCTGTTATGTTGTGGCCAGGTTGCAGCAAACCTTATGTCTGTTCTCAGGGATGGCTGGTTTCTGTGTCTGCTTTCTGAACAAGGAGATTAATTGTACCCGTTACTTTGGCTGGCATGCTTTGCTTCATGATGTATGCAGGACAGGACAGCAACTCTTCCCTTTTCCAGTCATACATGACATAAGAGCCTAGAAGAATTACTCCAAAAGTGGCTCCTTAACTAAGCATCCATCCAGGTTCATGGCTGAGCATGAAGTTTCTTATGGTTCAGAGCTCAGTGTTACAAGGGAATAAAATACTTCTCTCTAAATAGTAGTGAAAACACAGCAGGAGGCATTTAGTTCAGGGCATACAAGTATTGTCCTACCCTTGCCCAGGAAGCAACGTATATTAAATAGAAGATGTCTTCCTTGTGCTCTAGCTAAATCAATGTTATTTCTTCCAAAATAGTGCTGCTTCTATTCCTAGGGATAAAAATGTAGCTCGGTATCAATAGATAACTCTTCCTCTTGGGCTTTCTGTC